GATTTTATTCGCACCTGGAAGAACTCGCTCTTTACTGCCAGCAAAACAAAATTCAGACAGTCTGGTTTATTCCCGCCGCTGCTGAAGTGGGGTTTGAACCAAACCGTTCGGTGTTGCCTGCTGATTCGAGTGCAAAGCAGCAGCAAAAACTGATTCAGCTTTATGAACAAGCCCGCTCAGCCGAACAAAGAGGAGATCACTCTTTCGCAAAAGAACTGTACCAAAGTGGAATTCGCGATTTTCCAGGGTTCGCAGAGTTTCATTACCGATACGGTCTCTGCTTGTTGAAAATGGAAGAGTTCACAGAAGCGCAGCGACACTTTTCCTTGGCTCTTGAATTCGATGCTTATCCTGTACGCATGCAAGCGGCTTATCGCGAAGCTATTAAAAACGTTGCAGAGAAGTACTCAATCGCAACGATTGATGCTGCATCAAAACTCCGATCACATACTCCACATGGAATTCTTGATCGATCTGTCTTTCTCGATGATGTTCATCCCAACATCAAAGGAATTTCAGTTTTGGCAAACTCTGCTACTCAGGTTCTTGCTGGAGAATTTATGAAACATCTGGCTCTTACTCCCTCAGAGTGCGAGCCACTATCAGTTCAGGAGATATTGACGACCTACGAATTAACAACAGAAAACTTAGCCAAGAGTTATGCAAGATTGGCCGCAGGTCTCGAATTACGCAGTTTCTTGCGTTTCGACACAGAATTTCGATCTCATGAAGCCAAACGGTTTCAAAGAATTTCCGAAGAACTACGCACCGGCAACATCACTCCAGAGGAGGCCGAGCGTTTTGAGCATTGAATTCCAGGTGCTTCTCCCCCTTGTCGGTCAAGATTGGCCAGCGGAATTTGGGGGAGAGTGGACAAGTCGTCTGGCTTCGTTAGCGCTAATGATGTCGTTATAGAATAAAAATCACTCACTCGCTTTCATGACGAATTGGTCCGTAGTCATTGAAAAGTTCGAAGTATCAATTTTGTAGAACGGTCACCCCCGAATTCGTGCCTCTAATCCTTCATCGCCATCCAGGGCAACATCACGAACAAGTATCCGAAACGGGGCATCGCCGATGGGGGCGCCACCATTGTGGAAGTGGACTCCACCATAGAGGAAGTGATCCATTGGGCGGTGAGTGTGTCCGAAGCAGACGTGCTCAACGCCCGTTTCCCGGCCATGTCCGATGCTTTCCATATAGGCCAGGATGCGCTTCGCAACTCGTTTGCAGGGATAGACAGCCGGGGGAGCCAGTCGGTGCAATTGAGCTTTGATGGCGACATCATAGAGACGGTTGTGTAACTCCGTTCGCGAACCGTGGGAGAACTGTTCTCGCTGCAATTTAAGACAAGCGGCTGTCATATTCTTGTCTGCCACATCGCCATGCAGAAAGAGTGTGTCTCCGATGCGAAAGTAGTAGCGACTCCACTCGAAAGTCGTCATCTCCTGTTCCAGAAAGGGGAGCCGCTCCAGTAATTCAGGGTGATCGTCATGGTTGCCAAGAAGAAAGTGGACTCGGCAATGCTGTGTTGCTTCGTCGAAGTGTCTCAACCATTCTACAGCGGCGTGGGCCGTTTCATCTTCAGTCAGGTAAGTGGACCAGCGAAAATCGAAGATATCCCCACCTAGAACGCAAAGATCGGACTCGAGTGCTGCCTCGATAATTCTGTCCTGATATCGCTCCGCCGTGGATCGGCGGGCAAACATATGAAGGTCAGCGACAAAACAAACTTTGGCCATGATGAGTTTCCGCCCGATTCAGGTGGAGCAGGATTGATCTCTTTCCAAATGGTTTTATGTGTTCATCAAAGAAGTTAATCTCACAAGCATCTTCTCAAAATTCAAGCCAATCGCCAAACTTCCGGCGTTCTTGGCAAACATCGAATCGTTCTTATCGAGATGGAGATAATGAACCTGATTCGCCCGTAATGCTGTCGCTCTCATTCAAAGAGACAAAAACAAAAAAGCGGCAACCATTTCTGGTCACCGCTTCTTGTTTGGCGCTTTCTCGGCCAGATTAGCTTCTCATGGGGTCAGTCAGAGAACTTCGCCCTCCCGATGCCGAGAAGCAACCAGCTGGCCTTATTGAACTGTGTCACATGCGTCACAAGGTGCTTCGCAAGTCGGTGCTGCAACGCAAGGATCGTTACAGACAGGAACTTTCTTGCAAACAACTTTAGGAACGCAACGAGTCTTGGTCACAGTCACTTGTCGTGGAATGCAGCGAACATTTGTCACGTACTTGGTTTCGCAGATTGTGCGTGGGACACAGTAAGGAACCTGGCGTGTCTTGGTTTCGCAAACATAGCTGCAAGTGGTGTAAGGAACTTGCTTCGTGCGAGTTTCGCATGTGTAGCTGCAAGTGGTGTAAGGAATCTGTCGAGTGACAGTTTCACACTTGTAGGTGCAAGTTGTATAAGGAACTTGCTTGGTCTTGGTTTCGCGAACCATTTTGCAGGTTGTGTAAGGAACCTGCTTGGTGACAGTCTGGCAAGTGTAGGTGCAAGTTGTGTAAGGAACCTGTTTGGTGCAAGTCACTGGAGTTGAGTGACAAACAGTGTAAGGAACCTGGCAAGTCTTGACTTCTGGCACCATGCGTGTGCAAGTGATTGTCTTATTGACAGTCTTCGGGCACCAGACTTTCTTGCAGATTGTACGTGGTGGGCACTGCACCATTTCTTTACGAACCTTACCTGGCTTGTAAACATGGCAGCAGGAATCTTCATCGAAGCAGAATGAACCAGGCTCTTGAACACAGCGTTCAACACATGGTCCAGGAATTGTCTCGGTGACAGTCTTCCACTCTCCACATTGGACAGGCACGCAGCGAGTTGTTGTTACTGGCTTGAAGACAGTGCGGCAGACGTTGCGATAACGTGTTTCGTAAGTCTTCTTGCAAGTGGTGTAACAAACGTTGCGGTAGCAAGTCTTGTAGACTGGCTTGCGAACGGTGTAACAGACGTTGCGGTAGCAGGTGTTGTACACTGGTCGGCAAGTGGTGTAACAAACGTTGCGGTAGCAAGTCTTGTAGACAGGCTTACGAATCGTCTGACAGACGTTGCGATAGCAGGTCTTGTAGACAGGCTTACGAACGGTGTAGCAGACGTTCTTGTAGCAAGTCTTGTAGACAGGTTTGCGAACGGTGTAGCACTCATTGCGATAGTGAGTGTCGTACACAACTCGCTGGCAGGTCACAGGAGTCTTTTCGACGCAGCGATCATAGACAGTGTGACACTCATTGTACTGTTCGGTGCACCAGATCGTTTCTCGAACGGTCTTGTAAGACGGGCCACATGCGACCCGAGCATTACAGTAATCCCCGCAAGGATCACATGATTTCAATGGACAACAACGAAAGCGAGCGCTTCCGCAGAACAGTCCAGCTTCTGATTCCCCAGCACTCGCGAATGCCAACATGGCTGCGAGGACAGGAATCCACACTTTGTGTCTCATGAGTAGAGTCCTCTTTTCAACTAACCCCATATCAATCAACCACCACAACAAAGGTGGTCGCTTATCATGGAGTTCGGCTGATTTTGCCAGCATGCATCACGCAACTTGTGTATCTTGCCCACACTGCTTACTTTTTGTGACTGGGGTGATCTCGTATTCGTCCTGACAGCCACATTCAGCTTGGTTGCCAAGTTGTGTATTTACGGCATGATGTGTCATTTAGGATCGACCGTTATGACCGTTACCCTCTAATCTGTTCGGTGGTTCAAATCACCGATGAGAGGAACATTGGTGCGTGATCGGCAGCCTTTAACTCATCGTTAAACTTTGCCAATCTTCAAAGCGTAAAGTGATCGTTCAGCAAGAAAGTAACAGAGATGAAGTTCGCAATTTGCCAGGAAATGTACGAAGGCTGGGATTGGCAGAAACAGTGCCAGTCAATCGCCGAGACCGGCTACACAGGAATTGAAGTCGCTCCTTTTACTTTGGCGGATAAGGTCGAGAATATCTCAGTCGACCAGAGAAAAGAACTGGTTTCAGTCGCTAGTGACCTTGGACTGGAAATTATTGGTTTGCACTGGTTGCTCGCGAAAACTGAGGGGCTCCATTTGACGACAGCGGATGACGCTGTACGTCAGGCGACGTTGGACTATCTGATTCAGCTTGGTGATCTCTGTGGAGATCTGGGCGGGAAAGTGATGGTCTTTGGCTCACCGTTCCAAAGAAATTTGGAGGAAGGAACCTCCTATGAAACAGCTTTCGAAAGAGCTAAAGAAGTCTTCCAGGCTGCGATGCCTCGCATTGCCGATCGCGGAGTCCAATTGCTCATCGAGCCACTTACCACCAAGGAGACCGATTTCATCAACACTTGTGATCAAGGAGCGGATTTGATTCAAGCCGTTGATCATCCGAACTTCTTGCTTCATCAGGATGTCAAAGCGATGTTGGGCGAAGGGACACCTTTGCCTGAGATAATCGAGAAACACAAAGACCTGACCGCGCATTTTCATGTCAATGACAGCAACCTGCTCGGTCCCGGCATGGGCGAGACGGACTATCATCCGATCTTCAAGGCCCTTCTCGAAAGCGGGTATGACGGTTGGGTTTCAGTTGAAGTCTTCGACTATTCTCCCGGTGCGGAAAATATCGCAAAGCAGAGCTTGGACTATATGCAAAGAATTCTTGCTGAGGTTTCTTGAGGTTGTGAACGCAACGGCGCTAAATCGCAAAGCATACAAGACTTGCAAAAGCCGTCATCTCGTGTGCTCTTTGCGTCTTGGCGACAATACGTTTAATCATCATCCTTACATCAGTGAACTTAGATTGTTCGGGCTGGAAATGTAATTCGTGTGACAAAATCCAGTGCGATACGGTTAATTTGAATTATTAGAAACGCCGTTCATTGACGCTGTGACTCCTCACAGAATAATCTCGTTAAGGAGTCAAATTCCAGCCCAAACAAAAGATTCTGGCTGACAAGACCCAAGTCTTCTGAAAGTTAGTAAAAAGATGACAACTGCCACAAAAAGTGTCCCTGATTTACAGGGTCGGTTCGGTGACTATGGTCGCCGCTTTGTTCCCGAAACGTTAATGGCTGCGCTGGACCAGCTGTCTGAGGAATATGAACGGGCCAAGAAAGATCCCGATTTCGAGGCACAGCTTGATCACCTGCTGCGAACCTATGTTGGTCGGGCCAGCCCACTTTATTTCGCTGAACGGCTCACGGAGCATTGTGGTGGTGCCCGCATCTATTTCAAAAGAGAGGATCTGAACCACACCGGCGCACACAAAATCAATAACACCATCGGTCAGGCCTTGCTTACCTTGCGGATGGGTAAGCAGCGAGTGATTGCCGAAACTGGAGCCGGTCAACATGGTGTCGCGACGGCGACTGCCTGTGCTCGCTTCGGTCTCGATTGCATTGTCTACATGGGTGAAGAGGACATCCGGCGGCAGAAGTTGAATGTCTTTCTCATGCGGAACATGGGAGCTGAAGTTCGCGGAGTCAGTTCGGGATCCAAGACGCTCCGGGATGCCATTAACGAGGCGATGCGTGACTGGATGGGATCTGTTGAATCGACACACTACATCCTCGGTTCGGTCGTTGGTCCTCATCCATTTCCAATGATCGTACGTGACTTTCAGTCGGTCATCGGCAAAGAGACTCGTGAGCAATGCCTGGAATCGCTGGATCGTCTGCCAGATGAAGTCATTGCCTGTGTCGGAGGAGGTTCCAACGCTGCTGGAATGTTCTATCCTTTCATTGAAGATTACGATGTGAAGTTGACAGGTGTGGAAGCGGGAGGTCGAGGCAACAACCCTGGAGATCATGCCAGCCCGCTGACTTATGGTTCTCCCGGTATCCTGCATGGAAGTTACAGCTACGTCATGCAAAATGCGGATGGACAGACCGAAGATGTCCATTCCATCTCAGCTGGTCTGGATTACCCGGGTGTCGGTCCCGAGCACAGCTACTGGAAAGATACAAAGCGGGTCGATTACACCGTTGCCAATGATGATGAAGCTCTGGCGACTTTCCAACTTGTCGCAAAGATGGAAGGGATCATTCCGGCAGTCGAAAGTTCACACGCAGTTGCTCATGCCATGAAGGCCGCGAAAGCGCGCAGTAAAGATGAGATCGTTGTTGTCTGTCTCTCTGGCCGAGGAGATAAAGACATCAATGAAGTGGCACGACTGACAGGGATGGAACTGTAAACGAGTTCTCTCATCGTCACGTTCTAGATTCAACTGAGATATGCACCTTGAGGAGTGAGCTGAGTGGCATCTAACATTTCTGCCGTATTTGACAAACTGAAAAGCGAACATCAGATGGCATTCATGCCATTTATTACCGCCGGAGACCCTGATCTCCAGGCGACGCAGGATGTCATCAAAGCACTGGCTCAGGCAAATGTCGATCTGATTGAGATTGGCTTCCCGTACAGCGATCCCATTGCGGATGGTCCCGTGATTCAGGCCTCTTACACGCGAGCCCTCGATGCGAAAGTCACCGTGCCTGGTATTTTTTCTGCCATCGCTGAACTGAATGAAGAAGACCTGCCGCCACTCATCGCGATGGTCAGCTACGCGATTATTTTCCGAACAGGATTGGAGCAGTTCCTCGATCATTGTTCGCAATCAGGAATATCTGGATTGATCATCCCCGACCTGCCTGGTGCTGAAGCTGAAGAGGTTTTCGGGAAGGTCCGTGCAGCGGGACTCGATCTGATCCAACTCGTCGCTCCTACAACACCACGTGAGAGAGTCAAAGAGATCATTAAATGCTGCTCAGGTTTCGTCTACTGTATTGCAGTTGCAGGAACCACCGGCGAGAGGCAGCATGTCGCAGATGCCTTACTTAAGCAACTTCGGTGGTTGAAGGAAGAGACTGACCTGCCATTGGCCGTCGGCTTTGGTATCAGCAAACCGGAGCACGTAGCCCCTCTGCGGGGGCTGGCCAATGGTGTCATCGTCGGCTCGGCAATTGTCCGCGAATTTCAGAAGGTCGCTGACAAAGAGATCGATCGAGGGCAGTTACTGGAGAACGTCGGTCAATTTGCGAATTCGATGAGTAGATCTGCTCACCAATCGTGAAGGTGTTACAGAGTAGAAATTGCAAATCGAACCTCTCATCAATGTACTTTTTGCAACATTCCTTTCTTCTCAATCTCGTAGACTTTCACAGCCAAATGTTGCAACTCTTTTTGCTCTAATCTCTTACGGCAATCGCCTCTGAGAATCTGCACCTGTTTGGCACGATTGCTGCCTGTTGTTCTTGAGGTGATTGAGAAGCTCCGATGTGAGAAACCGGTGCTATGGGGATATAGGGACACCCCTTGAGAAAGGGTGAACCGATCTGAACCACCTACCATGACAAAAGCCAGGCAGTTTGAGAAACCGCCTGGCTTTTTTTGTGCTTTATCAACGCTTAATATCCAAGTTTATCTCAGCGGTCGTCCGTTTTTGAGGCGACCAGAGTTCACAGAAGATTCTTCCCAGAACCCCAGCGCACCCGTGGCACAACTATTTGATACGGACGATCTGGATGAAGAGAAATCCAACGCGTCTGGAACCTTCATAGGCCTGGATGAAGCTGGCTACGGTCCCAATTTAGGACCGCTTGTCATCGCATCGACTTGTTGGAGCACGCCCGGGCAGCCGTCTCGTTTTGATTTCTACCAAGCATTGAACTCAGTTGTTGATCCGTGTTCGACCTGTCGCGGAGAACGTTTGCACATCGCTGACTCCAAACAGGTGAATGTCGGCAAAAATGGGTTTCATTCGCTCGAATTCTCAGCGATCTCTCTGTTGCGAACTGCCGGTATAGAGACGACGTCTCTACTCACATTACTGAACAGTTTGACTCAGCAAGAAAAACTTAAGCTCTCCCTAAGTAAGGTTCCGTGGTTTCAAAACGATCTAGAGTTACCCTTTCAGGTGGAGAAAGAGTCACTTTCTTTGATGACAAGCAAGTTTCAAAACGCTTTGTCCAATGCACAACTGAAATGTGATCTGATCGCTGTCCAGTTCGTGACGGCCAGCGATTTCAACGCCGACCTGGAGCGATATGACAGCAAAGGAGTGCTGCTCTCCAATCGCAGCATGCACTTACTTGAGCAAGTCTGGTCTCCTGAGAACATGGTCCCCACTCTCATCGTTGGGGATAAACATGGTGGTCGCAACCGGTATGCAGAGTTGCTGGAAACGATCTCTGCTCCAAGGGCAGTGAAAGTGATTGAAGAAGGGCGAGCAAAGAGTTGCTACCAAGTTCGCTCAACGGAACTTCGTTTTCAAACGAAAGGGGAAGAACACTTTCCCGTCGCTGCCGCGTCCATCATTGCGAAGTATTTGCGAGAGTTGTCAATGATTCAATTCAATCGTTTCTGGCAAAAGCAGATGCCCGACCTGAAACCAACTAAAGGCTACCCAGTCGATGCCAAACGCTACTGGCAAGAGATCAAATCAGTACAACGGAGTCTCGGTGTGAGCGATGATCTATTATGGAGACGTCGATGATTCAAGTTAACAGCTAACTTTCTAGAAGTCACCGATATCGAATCCATCGGCTCGATCACAGAGACGCATGTAGGTCGCAGGATCAATGTTTTCAGAAAGAAATCTGACTGAGCCATCACATAATAAGAATTGTGCTCCCCCGGTGTGGTAGCTGCCAAATCCTCCCGGGTCATACTCAAATCCAGATGGTTTTTCTGGAGCTGGCGGACGTGTTTGGGGAGCCCCATCTTCACCTTCCTGACTGGCTTCAGCGTCTTCTCCATAGCTTTCCATACCGTATTCCAAGCCACCGTAGGAACCTCCATAACTTCCACCGTAGCTGGAACCACCATAGCCCGCTCCGCCGTATCCTTGTTGAATATCGTTCTTAGCCAACTCAAAAGCCGGGTTCGCAGATGGATCATTGTAGTAACGTGATCCGTCTGGAGTTTGGTTGATCATGATTCCAGCGTTACGCAATGTCGCGCGTGTCCCGGATGCCCAGCCGAGATCCTCCGCGCTGCGATTTGCTTCTCCAGCCATGATCGTGAAGGAACTGCCGTCGTAAATGTCCTTGTACCGGACACGACTATTCAAGTAAAGAATACCATGGTTGTTGGTATCAATGGCTCCCGCGTTGTGATGGTGATTCCCGCAATAATTCGAGAGTCCAACAGCGTTTTTAGCGTCGGTTGAGCGAGAGGGAGATGGGTCCGTAGGGCACTGAAAGACTGGAATCACCAGCTTGCGCACAGAAAGATTCTCATCAGCATAAATACTCAAAGTGCGGTCGAGTTTCTGATCGAGAACGGGGAGATCAATATACGGTAGAATCGCTGTCATCCAACCATGGTGGTATCCCTGTGGTTGGTTTTGAATTGGACCTAAGCGGTTCACCACTCCAGGTGGAAGTGTTTCATAGGAGTTGTAGTAGCTATGCAATGCGAACCCGATCTGGTGCAGCCGATTCTTGCATAGCGTGCGGCGAGCAGCTTCGCGAGCTTGTTGAACAGCTGGTAAAAGAAGTGCAATCAAAATTGCAATAATCGCAATCACGACTAGAAGTTCGATGAGCGTAAACCCAGATTTTCTCCGCACGCGAGACTCCCAACGCGGCCTATGCGGCCGAAACCAAAAAGCAACATCAATTGAGGCCGCTGGACTAGGGGCAAGGGATGAGTGGCTAGGGAAAACTGTATTCAATGCTTTCTCTCACCCCTGAACTCTCAACGAAATCGCTGTTACCTGTTGACGATGTTGAAAACATGACTCAAATATCAAAGTTCACAAATCAGCGTCGAGACTTCGTAATGCGATCTTCGTATTCTCAGCGACAGTGGCAACCTGAAAA